GAATTACAGGCACACGCTACCACGCCCGGCTGGTTTTTTGATTTATTGTAGAGATGAGGTCTCGCTGCCCAGGCGGGTCTCGAACCAGCGGGCTCAGGCAATCCACTCACCTCAGCCTCCCAAGGGCACGGGATTACAGGCTGAGCCACCAAGCCCGGCTGAAGATACTATTTTAAATGATGAAATAAATTCAAGATTGTAACAAATATTTTATATGCTTTGATAAACACGTTTGAAGAAGTTTCTTGTAGAAGGTACACAAAATCTAAAATTAATCATGTAAAAATTATTGCAAGTTTTACCTAGCAGTAATTCAAAACTTTTCTAATTTTCCTTTTTTTTTTTTTTTTGAGTTGGAGTCTCACTCCATCGCCCAGGCTGGAGTACCGTGGCATGCTGATGGTCACTGCAACCTCGACCTGCTGGGCTCAGGTGATCCTTCTGCCTCAGCCTTCCAGTAACTGGAACTACAGGTGCGCGCTACCATGCCCGGCTCAATTTTATTAGTTGTAGAGACCTGGTCTCACCAAGTTGCCCAGGCTGGTCTCGAACCCCTGGGCTCAGGCAATCCACTCACCTCGGCCTACCAAAGTGCTGGAATTACAGGATTGAGTCACCATACCCGGCCCTCAAATTTTTAAAACTTGAAAATCATGGTGATCTCAGAAAGCATTCCAGTGACTGGCCTGTGCTGTTTGGTTGTCCAATAGTGATTTTCTTATCAGCTACTGACACATCCTAAGATCTTGAGAATAGCTGAAAAGAACTTCTTATGTTTAAATACTAGGGGGAACCCCCAAAACCCGGAATTTATTTAAAAAGCTATTGACCAGGCAGGTGCAGTGGGTCATGCCTAGAATTCTAACACTCTGGGAGGTTGAGGTGAAAGGATTGCCTGAGCTCACTGGTTCAAGACCAGCCTGGGCAACTTAGGGATAACTCATCTCTACAATAAATTTTTAAAAATTAGCCAGGCATGGTGGCACATGCCTGTGATTCCAGTTACTTGAAAGGCTGAGGTGGAAGGATCGCCTGCATCCAGCAGGTCAAGGCTGCAGTGGTCATGAGCGTGCCACTCCAGGCTGGGCGACAGAGTGAGACTGACTCAAAAAAAAAAAAAATTGTTTATTCTTACATGTTTAAACTTCAGTCACCTTCAAAGTGATGCTATACACCTATTGAGATGCTTTTCCACTGCTCAGAACAGTTTTTGAACTCATCAATTTTGATGCTTTTTAGTGCTTCTGTTTCACCGCTTCCACATCAGCAAAACATTTCCTTTTGAGGACTTTTTTTATCTGGGGAAACAAAAAAGTTGCTAAGGGTGAGATCAGGTGAATAGGGAGGGTGGGGCCCGGGGATCATGCCGTTTTGGGTAAAAAAACTGCTGAACACTCAGTGCAGTGTGGACAGGTGCACTCATAAATTACCCATCATGAAATGGGCAAATGCTTTAAAAACAACCTCCAAAAAAAATTCAGTGAAGCTGAACACAGCTTCTCACAGCAATGCTAGCTGGTACACTGATGCTGATGAGTTCCTAGAACACTTACCTAATGGGAAAAGCTTGTAGTACAAGGGGCCTACACTACAAAAAAATAATTCTAGTTTTTTTGGGTGCCTCTTTGTAAAAGTTATCGAAATGGACGAGTTCCAAAACTGTTTTTTGAGCAGTGGAAAAAGCATCTCCATTGCATCAAATTGAGAGTACATTGAATGTGACAAGTTTAAACATGTAAGGATAAATATATAATTTTTATACATTCCAGGGTTTTGGGGGTCCTGTCTCATATTTGCCACTGTAGTTTCCCAGCCATGCAAAAGGACGTTTGAGTGTGCCTTGGTGCATTCCCAAGCATTTCATTTGTTTTACTAACAAGAAGTCTGCACTGCTGTGGAGGTAACTTCTAAAAGATTTAAGGACCCTGGGGAATTCACGGCTACAGATTCTTACTGACAAATCACAACCACTCCCAGCTTCCACCTTAGAAAGAATAATGGTTTGAAAAAAAAAAAAAAGATGGTCCCTCAGTTGCCCAAGGACTGAAGAATTAATGAATCTAAAAAGGGGGGGGGGGACACTGTCTCCCTCTCTGCTGATTCCATCTGAAATATGAAAATGCCTCAGACAGAACAGTATAATCATTGTGTAGGCGCCAGGGAATCTGAGAAAGCTCCAGGACACGGTGGGAACACTGAGTGTCTTCTTGACAAAGAATCCAGGGAGCCTGTGGGTGAATCTTTGTCAGCCTGGTAATAGCTAGCAACTTCTTAAATTGCAAGTTTCTGGCTTTGTATCATTTAGATTTGTTTCCTTTCACATAAGGGCTGTAAAGAGCTCATCTCCAGCTTTTTATTTCATAACATAGATGAATCAGGTGTACTGCAGGAAAGCATACCAAGCTGAATGTTCCAGTCTACAACCCAGTTATGTCAAGCATTTCCATATTACCAACCAGATGGTGCAAAAGTCTGCCTGGCCATTAATACTGTCCAACTATTAACCTTTTTCAGGGAGACCTTCTTTAATGGTTTTAGACTTTTTGATTACTAATGACCTTTCCTTTATCCCTTTAATCCAGGGATTCTCAACTGGGGGTTACTAAAATTCCCATGGAGCTTTTGAAAAATGTAGCTATCCAGGTCTTAACCCAGACCTTCACACTTGAAACTGAAACTAGGCCTAGTTATGCGTATGTTTAAAAAATATCTACAGGGTATTCCGAAGTGATCTCCTGGTTAAAAATTGTTTCCTAATCCATAATTTTTTTTTTTTGAGTTGGAGTCTCACTCTGTCACCCAGATTGGAGTGCAGCAGCCGCTCCCAGCCACCGCAGCCTTGACCTGCTGGGCTCTGGTGATCCTTCCGCCTCAGCCTTCCGAGTAGCCGGCTAATCCATAATTTCTAAGCAAATCAACCTTAATTCTTCATCTTAAATTCACCCTCTATTCAACAAGCCAGTCTCTAATTCTTTAAGGGAAACATATACTAACCCAATGAGTATTTTTCATTCTAATGGAAACTTCTGCTGAGGAATTTTGTTTGTGATTATCTAAAGTAATGGTTATTTTTTGAAACAACAAAAACAGGGCTTCTTTTTTCTTTTACAAATTAAGTTTAATTGATCATTTAGCTTCAGAAATAAAAAGATGTAATAACTCCTAAAACGAGAGTATAAACATGTTTATTTTGTTTTTCAGAGTGTATTTCCTTTCTTCATTTTTTAGCAGATAGGTAGTATTGATCCATTCTCTCGCTGAATGTTGTAAAGAAATTAAAAATTTAGGTAGATGTTACCCATACCTATCCTAAACATCACAGATTCCCCCAGTAGCCTCAAAGGAGGCACAACTTCCTGGTTTTAACTTAATGTTTACGGCGGGAAGATAGCACCTGCTTGAAATAAAAGAGTCAGAGTTCATCTAAACACAACCCCAAAGTGTTTGGCATTAAACTGAAGGATTCAAATATTTCAGGAATCTGGAAACTACCAACTATTTAATAATGAAGCAAATTAATGACATTTATACAAGTTGAAGTCCTAAATGGGCCAGGGTAGGAAAAGTATTCAAGCTACCAGACAGTTACAAATGGAAATATTATATTTCCAGCTGTTGGTGAAAACCTATAAAAATCTAAGGAAACAGACAATAGGTAATGGGCACATTGCTGCTTCTCTAACAACACTTTAATTGTGGTTTGCAACTGTTCTTGTTTATAATCCATCTGATCATTAAGGACTCAGATATAAAAAGAAGTCCTGCCTTATTCTCTACAAGCAGGCCACAAGATGGAAAAACAGAGGGGGAAACGCTAGCATACACAAGTGAAAAATGAATGGTCAAGAGATCAAGATCTGATCATGGGAGTGCATGTATCATCCTCTGTCATGGGGCAGCCCTTTAGACCAGACAGAGGATAGATACACTGTCTTATCCTAACGGTGATCGTATACCTAATGGATACTCAGGACTCAGGATACTGTCTTATCCTAATGATGAACGCCCACCGAACACTAGCTAAAACATCGAGTAATTCCTACTACACAAAAGATATGTAAAGGGTCTGCAATGAAAGAACTTACCTCTGCTGTTGTTAAGAATTAGTCCCTTCCTATTAACTCTGGTTTCTCCTTAACAAAACTCAAGGCATAAAGAAGTCCTTCCTGGAGAGCTAGAAGGGTGCTGCTTTCTGACTTGTTTCTTATTGTGAGTGACTACTCTAGATGCCTGTTTATTTAAAAACAGAGACTTATATGAGGTCAGCTCTTGAGAACCTGTGCTAATAAGCGCTAAAACAAGCACAGGAACCTGAAATCAATAAGCAATAGTAAAAAACTCATTTTACCATGTGGCGCCATCTTTTTTTCTAGCAATTAAACTGATGTCCTTGGTTCCTCAGGTCCCTACTCTGGAGGACAAGTAAGGCAGCAAAACATACTAATTGGACTATCTTGTCCTAAATAATGAAGAGATGATTATCAACTCTATTTTTAAAATCCTAAGTGCTAAAGATCTTTTGGGTTTTTAATCCCTAGCACTTCCATCTCACAATATGAAATTCAACTGAAGACACACGATAGTACCACTTATACTTAGGTTGAGATAATCTTTGGATGAGCAAGAAATAAAACTATTAGAATCCCAGATATAGTCCCTCAGGGATAATCACTAAGCATATTAGAGATGAATAAAATTTTTAAAAAATACCGAACATTTATTTACCAATTTGTTGTTTTTTTCCCCCCCGGTATTGAAACTTGGGTATTTTGGATTTTCACATTTTTTACTTTCCTTCTGTCCCTAGGTCTTCCTAATGTCATACTACTCAAGTAATCTGCTGTGTTTGAACAAACAAACAAACCTTATATTTCGTTACATTTAGCTAAACAGAAATTTTTTTAAAACCTATCTATGAAGCACACTATGTCATACACTGCAGAAACCTCATTTCAGCTGTGTTGCATTGCTAGCAATTACTGAGCTACAGAATTCTTTTCTTTCTCTCTTTCTCTTAATTTAATAAAGCTTGTCAAAGTTTCCAGGAAACAAACTGTGACTTCAGCTTTTATTGCATTCTGATGGGATCAATGGTTACAAAACCTCAGCATCACAGATCACTCTCTCCATAGAGCGCGGAAGAGAATGCGGTATAATCCAGGGCACCAGGCACGCTGCCCGGACCCGAGTAGGCAGGCATCCTCTTGATGCAGTACTGGGCCTGATCCGGGGGAAGTTCCCGACGCAGCTCCTCCGCCAGGATATATGGCTGGAAAAATACACAAGTGTTTGCAAAGTCAGCTGCAGAAAACACTGGCACGTAGACAGACTTAATACTTATACATTTCATGCATATGTTTAATTTTTTTTTTTTTTTTACCTTCAGTAGGACTGATGGTGTTTAATTTTTAAAAGGCTGAAAGGTTAGGGAGTCTATTGGGTATAATACTAGACAACCAACAGAAACTCAGTTGTATTTGTAGAGGCATTTCTAGGAGGTGACCTGCCCACAGGAAATGTCACAGGCTTCATAGAGGCTAATGGAGCATGATCAATAGATCTCAAGCTAAGCTCTCATGCAAGGAACAACACTGTGATCTAGATTTCATATCAGAAAAGCAAAGGGACATCTGGCTTACATCACAACCTGACTAGAACATAGAGACATTTAACTTAACATAATTGGTGTACTTATTCAAAAACAAAAATGTATGTGCTATGTGCTTCTAGAAAATGAAATCATTTTCTCACCCAGTTTATTAAAAAAAAAAAACTAGAAATATGTTGCTAATAGAGAAAATCTCTCTCTAAAACAAAATAAAATTCACATTTAACAATGAAGCTTTTTTTTTTTTTTTTAATATGGAATGCTTCATGAATTTGTGTGTCATCCTTACCCAGGGGTCATGCTAATCTTCTCTGTATTGTTCCAATTTTAGTATATGTGCTGCTGAAGCGAACACTTTTTTCAAAGATGTTCAGTGGGAAATAGAACAATTCTGATGAAACAGACTAGCTGGTAAGAGTCAAAATATGTAAATCGCAGATACCGTATCACATTATAATTCATAGTAGAATTGTTTTGGTGGGGTTGGATAAGCTATGGCTTATTACCTTCTACATCAGCTGGGCTCTTTCCTCTCTACCCTCCCCCCCAGGATAAATGATTCATTTTAAAAACAAATGCATTATTTTTTAGTTGGTCTTGCCTGATTTTTTAAAGGTAGTAAACATAGCTCTGCTAATGTGTTTTAGCACTCTAACTTCCTTGTGATAATGTTCTTTATTCTCTCAGAGAACACAGGATAAAATAATTCGGTTCCAAATTAAATTATATACTGAAGTGTCTTTATTGTTTGGGGGGTAAAATTCAAGACTTCTGATTTGCAATTAAACGCCTCCTTAATTTCTAGGCTACATGTAATGACAAGCTTGCCAATGTTTTAATGACTGAACTGCTATATTTAACTTTGTTCCAGGAGCTGGGCACAAAGTCAAGGTCATTGGTCCCTAGGAGAAGGTTCCCAGTTCTGTAACATTTGAATTGTGTGGTTTCTTCTTTCTGAGTCACACCTACAGAATGTAAAATGGGGTTGAACCAGTAACACACACACACACACACACACACACAAACTACAAAGTACATACCACTGTCCCTTACCCTTCTCCAAAAACTTAATGTGGGGCCCAAATGGAAGGCTTCATTTTCTCTGTTCTGGGGACACCACTGTGATGCTTATGTGCCACTTTCTGAATTCAGTGCTGATATTATACAAAATGTACTAGCATAAAAACGGCTTTCATTCACAACACAGTTTTTGTATTCGGACGCTGTACTACTGCTAAAGCAGAAGGAAATCTGCCCATGCAGACCTTATCGGAAGCCAGGATGCGGAAGGAGGCGATGACCTGCTCGGCGGTATCCGTGTCAGCAGTCTCTCTAGTCATGAAGTCAATGAAGGACTGAAAGGTGACAGTGCCTTGTCCATTGGGATCCACCAGGGTCATAATGCGGGCAAATTCGGCTTCACCCTGAAGCAAGACGGCAAAGAAACAGGTGCTTGAACAGTTCACGACTCTCAAGAGTGCCCGCCTCACTACTTTCCCTACTGACATACAAGTTCTTTGGTGTTTGAAAAGGATCACCCGTGTTTCCCTCCCGTCTTTGGAAAAGATTCCCCTTATGGGTGGCTTAAGTGTATTGCCATCAAAGTTTCAAAAATTGCTGTAGCGCCATGTAAGACACTTGAATGCCAGAATTCTTTCCTCTCTGTGACCCGTGGGCTGGGTCACATGACATAATTATGGAAGAACAGGGCAAAGGGACAGTGGAGCCCTTTTCTCAGATTATAACTGAGAAAAGCAACACTGCTAAATGGGAAGCAGTTAAGAAGATGGCGCTTGTGATTTTATTTTAAAGTTCTGAAGGGATCAAAGCAGCTCATGCTCAAAATATGCATTAGTGGGTAGCAGAGTAGTATGGGACTATCACAGCCTATGGGGAAAGTTTTTCTTAGCTGATTTTAAAAACCTTCTAAAATAGTAGAGAAAAAGAACTTTAAAAATCATCAGGACACTAAAAGGCACTGAAGTGTAACTTTTATTTATTTATTTGTTTGTTTATTTGAGTTGGATGCTCACTCCAATACCCAGGCTGGAGTGCAGTGGCACAATCACGGTCACCCCAGCGTTGACCTGCTGGGCTCAGGCCATCCTTCCGTCTCAGCCTTCTAAGTAGCAGGAACTACAAACACGCCCCACTACTCCTGGCTAATATTTTGATTTTTACTGTAGAGACGCGGTCTCTCCGAGTTGCCTGGGGTAGTATCGAACCTGTGGGCTCTGGCAGTCCACTCGCCTTGGCCTCCCAAAGTGCTGGGATTACAAGCTGAGTCACCGAGCTCGACCTGAAGTGTACACTTTAAATACACCTTGAGTGTATTTAAATAGGTGAACTCTAGTCTGTGAATGATAGCACCAAAAAGCTGTTTAAAAGATCATCAAAAAGCCTGCGTTCTCACTTCCTGCACTTGAAAAAAATCTGACCAACTATGCAATAAAAATACACATTTTGACTCTGTGAAATTATTTTTACATAATTATAGGCAGACCTTCAAAGCCTATTATCCTGTATGACAAAAATGAGCCACTCCCAAATGTGCCCCCTTACTCTGAGCTAGTCGTCTCCCATAATACAAATCTAAGCTCAATAAAATATCAAATCTTGGTAAAGTTTCAACTACTGTCTTACCAAATCATAACCCATGGAAATCAGGCAGGCTCTGAAATCCTCATGATCCATCAGGCCATTCTTCCTCTGTGGATAAACACACAGGACAGAAAAAGTGAGCGCTGGTGGCAAGATGAGTAGCTCAACTTCGCCAGCTGAACAAAACCTGGAAAGAGAAGGGCGTTTACAGCTCTGCCGGGATCATAAAGGCCACCGCTGACTTACAGGAAGGATGGAGCCAACACAACGAATACGACAAAATAGTTTCTTTAAAAGGAAAGAGAAAGGAGGGAGAGGAAAGACCCAAAATGAACGAAGATTCCATGGTCAATAAAGTAGCAAAGGGAGCTAGTTGGGAGCTCCCTACTGCCACCTACCGATGACAGAATATATCATAAATGTCCTGAGAAAGGATGCTCTCAATGGCTCTGAGTAGTTATCATTTGTAAAATCCCCCCAGGGATAGGCACTTTTCTAGAGCTCTTACAACTGGAGGGCAACTACTCTCAGGCCCTTGGGCCAGGATGCAAGAGTGTCTCTGTGTGGCAAGCTCAGTTTCTCCCAAAAATCCAGTGAGGGTCTACACAGAGCCAACATGCAGAAAGGGGTCACTGGGACAACAGCTTTCGCAGCTAAAAAAGCCCAGATCAGGACAAACAGTGAACTAAACTCTGTAGAGACAGGGGTGTCCGTGCAAAGCCCTGGGCATGCTGGGAAGCCCACAGCTCTGCTGAAGATTCCCTGGTGAGTTTTGGGGGACAGCGAACATTCAAGCAGCAGCATAAATGTAAAGAGAAAGCACTTTTATTGGCTATGTGAATTATTAATCAGAAAGCTATTTTCTGGAGTTTTTGCTTGCCCATGAAATGGCCAGTCCCAACAAAGCTAATATCAAAAGTTCTTTTTTTCTTCCTTCCTCCCTCTCTTTCTTTTTTTACTGGTTTGGGGTCTCACTCTATTGTCTAGGCTGGAATACAGTAGTATGAACCTGGGCTCAAGAGATCCGTCTGCCTCAGCCTCCAGAGTCACTGGGACTACAGATGTGCACCACCATGCTCAGCGTATTTTTTATAGAGACGAGGTCTCACTATGTTGCTTAGGCTGGTCTTCAACTCCTAGACATAAACAGTCCTCTAGCCTTGGCCTCCCAAAGTGCTGGGATTACAGGTATGAGCCACTGTGCCTGGTCAGACTTTACGTATCTGTTCACACAGCTGTGTGTTTAGTTCTCAGGCACTGCCCTGAGATCTCAGCAACATTCTCTAAAGCTATGCTTAATACCTTATTGACCTAATTCTCCTCTGATTTTTCATAAAGTTCCACTTCTCTGGCTCTTCTACCTCTCTTAAATGTAGCAATTTCCTAAGATCTGGGTCCTACCCTCTTCTTTTTTTTCTTTGGAGACAGAGTCTTGCTCTGTTGACCAGGTTGGAGTGCAGTGGTGCAATCATAGCACACTGCAGCCTTGAATTCTTGGGCTCAAGTGATCTTTTCACCTCAAGCTCCCAAGTAGCTAGGACTAGAAGTGTGCATCACCATGCCCGGCTAACTTTTTATTTTTTGTATAGATGAGGTCTTATTATTTTGTCCAGGCTGGTATCAAACTCCTGGCCTCAAGCAAACCTCCCGCCTTAGGCTCCCAAAGCACTGGGATTATAGGTGTGAGCCACTGCACCCAACGCCTTCTCTCGTTACTCTCCAGATTGTTTCTTGCCAGAGATGGTCATTACGTGGTGACTTCTGCAGGCTTCAGCCCTAAACCCTAGAAATGGACTCCTTTTGCCCAGGGGATCTCATCACTATCCCTCTATCCCTCAGCCCAGAAGTTCATTTCCTCTTCCCTCACTTCTCTAAGGGCCTGTCTGACTCTCTGCTCACTTTCTCCTTCCCTCCAGTCCATCTCACTCTTAAAGGTGCTGCCCGGCACATTTTTCTGGAGCACAGCTCTAGTCACGTGACACCGATGGATGCTCCAAAGCCTTCAGTAACTCTCTAATGGTCATGGAAGAATCACTCCGTTCACATCCTCTGCACCTCCTGCCATTCCTAGCTTTACAGGAATGAGAAGATGAAGCAGAGTGGATCTGTGTCCTTGACACCTCTCGCCATTACACTGCGATCACACTTTGCTTCCCTCCCCAAGCGCAGAATCATTCACGTTTAATTTAAACAAACTTCTAATGATGGCAAGTTCTGCATGTCCTCCTTGGACTTCTGTTGCAAAAGACTGTCTCACCACCTTGGATTCAAATCAATGTGCTTTCTTCCTATAAGGCAGCCCAAATGAGTGAGAGACGGATTTCTGCAGGGACTGTGATCATCACCCTCCATGGAAGGAAACGACTTGGGCATCAGTGAATAAAGTCAGGTCAATATTACAGCGTGCTTCTGTGAAATAAAGTTGTGTGAAACCCATGAGACCCTCAATACCCATCTCTGTGTGTGATTCTTGAAGTCTACTGTCTGAACCCTGCAACAAGCCCACATCTGGCTGGTCTAGCTCAGAGGTATTTTGTGAACCCTTTACTGACATCTGCAAATCATAAACAGGGTTCTGTACAAAATAATGGAATTTCTCTGTTAAGTGATCTTTAACAACTGGAATGTCATAAGGCCTTGAAAGTCACTCTCAGCCATATGATTAGTAAACTGGGAGTCTTCTCATAAAGAACTAGTTTTACTCAATATTATTCAAATCAAAATACTAGATAATATTTTACAAGAAACATACATTTTTATAAGCCTTTACTATAAACATGATTACTATTTTGTTGAATATAAGAAAACACCATTCTGTTAATTTTCTTTTTTAATTAACAAAATAAACTCATGATACGTTTCCTTAAAACGTATCATGACCTGAGCCCGCGGGTTCGAGACCTGCCTGGGCAGGCGAGACCTCATCTCTACAATAAATCAAAAAATTAGCTGGGCATGGTAGCACATGCCTGTAATTCCGGCTACTCAGAAGGCTGAGGCGGAAGGATCGCCGGAGCCCAGCAGGTCGAGGCTGCGGTGGCCGGGAGCAGCCACTGCACTTCAGTCTGGGCGATGGAGTGAGACTCCAACTCAAAAAAAAAAAAAAAAAAAAGTATCATGAGTTGATTTTGTTAATTAAAAAAGAAAATTAACAGAAATTTTGTTCATTAAAAAATATGTTGAAAGAGATTATCATCAGGTGTTTTGGCTAAACAGTGACCTAGGAAAAGCCCCTTTGAGTATTGTAGAAAATGATCCAACGACCATGGTTGTTTTTTTTTTTGAGTTGGAGTCTCACTCTTTCACCCAGGCTGGAGGGCAGTGGCATGCTCCGGGTCACTGCAGCCTTGACCTACTGGGCTCTGGCGATCCTTCTGCCTCAGCCTTCCAAGTAGCCATAACTACAGGTGCGCGCTATCATGCCCGGCTAGTTTTTTATTTATTGTAGAGATGAGGTCTCGCCAAGTTGCCCAGTCGGGTCTTGAACCCTCAGGCTCAGGCAATCCACTCATCTCGGCCTCCCAAAATGCTGGGATTACAGGCTGAGCCACCGAGCCTGGCTGGACCACGTTTTGTTAAGGATACAACTTCACGTAGAACAAATCAAGCTTTGAACACACTACCGACGCATTCTCCTTAAGGGATCTGCATGAAAGGGCACACAAACACAGACTCCGTGTCACCTTGAGCAACATCAGAGCTTAGGACACTTTGTTGTTGATGGTGATTTTCCTTTAGCATGAATTATCCTGTTTCCCCGTAAGCTTTTTGGGGCATCGAGACTTAAAATGAGAGCACGCATCTTATTTCACACACATTGTTTAAGAAACCCAGTACCCTTTAGACAAATAGAGAACGCAGTACCCTATCGAAGTGGTTGAAGGAGGCTCGGAACTCATTCATCTGCTCCTGCGTGATGCCCTTCGCATCCCGTGTCAGGATCTGGGTCTCCACCTCGTTGATGGTTCTGGCGATGGTTGTCAGCAGCAGCTCCCATCCAACGCGGATGTGCTACCAGGGGGGAGGGAAGGAGAAGTTCTAGGTTTTCCAGCGTGTCTACCTTGCCTCTTCATTTTCCTAACAGGAGACTCGACTCAAAGGTCTCACAGTAAGTAGGGCTACAACAGACTTCCCTACACTTTAAAAAATTCTACCCTGTCATTTGTTGCAAGATTCTGCGTGGGAAGTACTCAGAAGTGTGACCAGGGTACTCTGTAGATTAAGTAAACAATATATAGAGTCTATTTGTCACTAAAAATATTTTTCCATCTACGAAACAGCAGGATGGGCCCTGGTTATACCCACTGGCTCTCAAGGAGAACAATTTGGGCCAAACTGGTAGAAATGTTAACAGTCCAGTTTCTGGTATTCTCTTTGAAGAAGTATACTTCATTTGTTGTGGTGATAATAATAATTATGATGTCATTGTTGTTGATGATAACTATTACGTAATGTTTTCTATAGTCCACAAAGCTTTTCCACATATAGTGACAGAAAAGCTTAAAGATCTCTAACGTTCATACTTGTAGGACTTAATAGGAACAAAGAGAGACAAGTGTGTGAAAAACACCCCGGGAAAGTGACACAGTGAAGATGAGAAGCAAGGAACATGGGTCTGTGTGACGGCCGTACCTCCATTGTGTAGTTTGTGTGCTTGTTGTCGAAGACCAGGGCCTCTTGGATGAGCTGATGGTCTCCCTCCAGCTTGTCAATATTGTTCTTGTAGTTAATGATGTTGTGCTCGTACTGCTTCAGCTGGTTCATCTGGTCTTCCAGGGCTCCTGTGATCTGGATGGAGCTCCGGGCGATCTCCTGAGGCAGCGAGGGGAAGCACAGAGACACAAGCTGAGTGGCCACTCAAGGGAGCTCAGACGGGCACCATTCCTGGCCCTGCCCAGATGTTCCCCAGGGTCAGGCAGCAGCCACAGTTTCGGGGCTCACTTTTCTCAGATGAAAACAAGGTCTAGTTCTGGTCTGTCTAAAGAATGGGGAAAAGCCAGGCTCGGTGGCTCAGCCTGTAATCCTGCACCTTTGGGAGGCTGAGGTGAGTGGATTGCCTGAGCCCACAGGTTCGAGACCCACCTGGACAGCGAGATCTCATCTCTACAATAAATCAAAAAATCAGCCGGGTGTGGTAGCGCATGCCTGTAATTCCGGCTCCTTGGAAGGCTGAGGCGGAAGGATCGCCGGAGCCCAGCAGGTCGAGACTGGTGGCCAGGAGCGGCCAGTGCACTCCAGTCTGGGCGACAGAGTGAGACTCCGACTCAAAAAAAAAAAAAGAATGGGGAAAAAAATCAACTAAGATCCAAAACAGAAAATAAGAGGGCAAGCGATGAGTCCTTTCAGGCTTCTTGCTGTTGGAGGGAAACTCCCTTGGGTAGAGCTGTCCTGCTCTGGATGGGTTGGGGCGGGCTGCAGGGGTGGAGCTGCCAGGCAGATTGAAGACTATCAGACGCTTCCTTCATCAGAAGCATTCCTTAGGTTTTTAGATGTTCTCTCCTCGGAAAAAAGTTAATATTTTATCACCCCAAGGGAGGTGGGATGAGAAATAAGTGAGTCAATAAATGTCTCCTGGCTGTTCTTGGTGACCAAATGACATCAGTGTCATTCAAAGACCACTTTCCCGCCAATGTTCTGAAAAAGCGGCTGTGGGTCTTTACATGTCCTCCTCCTTAGGGGTGGGTGGCTCAAAATCTAGGTCCTGCAGAGGCCAAAACCCGAAAAAGAGCCCTGTCGCTGTTTTTAATGACAAGATAAACAATCAAAGTAAGAACATCCTACCTCCAACAAGTGAACCCTCCACACACTTTGTGCTGAGCCTAGGCACACACCATTCACAACAGCCCAGGGGCTGAACAGATAACGCCCAGTGTGACAAGAGAGAATGGTGCTCTCACACGACTGGGTTGGTGGCCAAAAACTACAGCAGAAGTGGTGGCACTGCTGCAACAGCTAAGGGACTCACTGCAGAGATTGTGAGCAGCTCCCAGAAGGGCGCTGACCTACCTCCATCTTGTTCTGGATCCAGGGCCCAATGGCATTGGCCTGCGCAGCAAACTGGCGCCTCAGACGCTCGTTGGCATGCTGGCGGGCCAGCTCCTCCTGCAGGGACTGATCGCGGATGGGCACAAGCTGCTTCACCTGTCAGGGCCCAAGGACCACATGGGTTAGAGGCCAGCTTTGTTCTCCTAGGATAAGCATAGCATATGGTGAGAGTCCAAGGGGTGGAGGAAGCAGAGGAGAAAGAAAAGGCGAGGGTGGGGTGGAAGGAAGAGGGAGGGAGGAAAGTGGGAGTTCCTACTCTAGGACCTAGAGGGAGTACTCAATCTAGCTTTGGCTGCCACCCAGTGCCATGGAGTGCCTGCTGAAAGGCTGGATGACACTGTCACTCCTTTTCTTACAGTATTTCGAGAGTTGTTCAAGTTCCACTTATGAGTGAGAACATGTGATACACAGATCTTTGTTTCTGTGAGAGATCACAAGAAAGGTGGGATTAACAGCAGTCAATATCTATCTGGACGGGGGGGCACGCCTCATCAACAACGGTACCTGCACAATGCATATTTGTATACCTAACCCTTAACTGTACCCCACAATTTTAAAATCAAAAAAAAAAGAAAGAAAAGCTGGATGACTCCAAGGGGATCTAAGAGCCTGCATTAGGGACAATGATTGTTACTCCAGCCAGGGGCTCTCGGCCTGCAGAACCAACTCCGTGGGGGCCAGGTCCAGAGTGCAGAGGATTTGGGAACCTGGATGAGGGGAACACTGGCATCTTTATTTTCGCTATCACTGATTAAAAAAAAGATAGCACTTCCTTTTTATTACAAATATAGGTAGCAATCTGCAGCAGTATCTAGTAGCACCTGTGATTTCATCATGTTAGAAAGCACAGACATCCTGTAGGACAGTACAGTTATCAGCAGTCTCCTGCCACGTCAGATGCACTCAGCAAAATTATCAGACCTGTTGCTAGATCTTGGTTTTAAATGTGCTAATAAAGAAACACATACTTTACTAGACCCCAACTTGTAAAAGATGTTTTTATAACTACATTTCAATATAATTTGTTTCCTTTGTAATCTTAAATATTTTTACAAATTTACAAATATTACTATCCGAAGGGATCCACAAGCTTCTCCAAACTTCACAAAATAGTGAAGGACCCCTTGTGGGTTAACAAGCTTGATTCCTATATCGTGTCAGCCCACGGGAGAGTGTGTACTGGTCTACCTCCTTTCCATACCATTTGGAAATCACAATTTAATGCTATGCCTATCCTCTCTGAATCAACAGAAAAGAAAAAAACCTACTTCAAAAATCTTTTTTGTGTGTGTCATCTGCAAAACTGCTGCTAAAGGCATTGTTACTCAGTGTACCTTTTGCAAAAAAACCTTTTGCTTTATAACTTACTGATAGGAGAAAAGTTTGTCTCACTTCAATAAATGATATATTTCTTTTTATTTTCAAGAAAACGACTCAGCATGCTCCCTTCTCACTTTGGCTGTCAGGAAGACCAGAACTACATTTAAAGCTCAGACAGCAACTGTCTCAGGTGAATACTCTCTCCTTTTCCTTACACCTGTTTGTTATTCTCTTGTTCACTGTTTTTAACTAACTTGCTGCATGTGTATTTTTATCATAAGCCACTTCAAATCCACGTAGTGGACATATTTCTCAAAGATAATATATTAGCATACTGAAATGAGTAATTGTGTTATAATTTCAACTGTGAAAAGAAGTTTCTCTTAAGACTGAGACAAAGGGACTCAAATAATCCCATTTTGACGATAACTAAATTTGTGCATAGTTTCCCTGAACTTAAAAGGCAACAAGTTAGTAGGAATACTTCTGTTTCCCAGGAGCAGTTTACGAAATCATTTTTCTGCTTTTAAAATTCCCACATATTTGGGATGTCTATCCCATATTCTAAAACTTCATTATAGAAGTATTATAGGTAAGCTGATTCCACCAAACCTCCAGTTGGAGTTTTAAAAATTGTTTATCTTATGGCATTAGTATTATAACCTGTACTGTCAACATTCATAAGAGTTTCCTTACAGAAAAATAATCCCTATCTTCCTCTCGAACTGCAGAAGCTACCAAATGGCACTTAATCATTTAACACATTTCATCTGTGAAATTTGGGGTGATGGAAAATCCTGATCATCATGCAAAATCAGGCTGTCATCCCAAGTCCCCAAGGTGTTTCCCTTGACCTCAGCTTCCAGACTGCCCCCTGGCCCCACCCTTGGCCCTCAGCCACCCACCTTGTCCCACTTGGCCCGGAGCTCGTCCATGGTGACAGTGCTGTAGGGATTGCTCGAGCTGATTCTGATGCTGTAGCTCTGGATCACCTTCTCCACCTCATTCTGGATGGCCATGATTGACTGCCGCTCTCCATCCGCCTCGGGCAGTGTGGCCTTGAACTGCTCGTGGGCAGTGATCAAACTCTATGCCAGAAACACAAGTAGAGAAAACCCAGTCTGACTTTAGTATTCATTTCGCAGGCTTTGATGTTCCCTTCTGCACACAAGTAAATGCCTTTACAATTGCAGGAATCTCTGAAGGAAAACAAATTCTGGATGTTTTAGAAAAACTCAGAGAAGTCAAGTTCCTTGAAAATGGAAAACAGATATCAAGACACCTATTTAATTAATGGCTAGTCATCCACGGACTTCAAAAACCAATTTTCTTTAAAAAGAAATTGTTTCCATTCATTTTTTTCTGATCCCCAGCTACTGTTTAGGTCTCATTTTTTGCCGATGAACTGAACTTAACTTAGCTGCCCTTTCTTTTTTTTTTGAGTTGGAGTCTTACTCTGTCGCCCAGACTGGAGTGCAGTGGCCGCTCCCGGCCACCGCAGCCTCGACTTGCTGGGCTCCGGCGATCCTTCCTCCTCAGTTTTCCGAGTAGCCAGAATTACAGGGGCGTGCTACCACGCCCGGCTAATTTTTTGATTTATTGTAGAGAAGAGGTCTCACCTGCCCAGGCGGGTCTCGAACCTGCGGGCTCAGGCAATCCACTCACCTCAGCCTCCCAAAGGCACGGGATTACAGACTGAGCCACCGAGCCTGGCTTAGCTGCCCTTTCTAATGGCCAGTTTTACCTCTAAAGTCCTAGACAAGCACTTAAACATTTGCTGCCTTTATGCCTAAAGACAACCAGGATGTACCCCCTACTCCTCCAAAAGAAAAGGCCACAGAAACCATCTCTTCCCAGAAGGCTCCAGAAGGCCTCCATTGTTCAAGCCTATCCTTTGACCCAGACATATAAGACAGCAGCCTTATGAGTTCAGCTGTTAAAAGACCTCACTGCCTTGGTGGAACACCGTTGAGCACGCAGTTGCTGTTCTCTTTAGGTGCTGCAACAGATCAGCTGCCAACACACCTTTCATTAAACAAAAAGTGACTTCCAAGGCATGCTTACAAAGGTCTCACTTATTCTAAAAATAAGCGATTTCAGACGGCTGGCTTGTGTGTAAGGGTTCATGCAAGAAATGCTATCAAAGCCTCTTTCAGAAGACAAACATGAGGCTCATGGGAGTAATTTCTTTCCCCTCACTTGCAGGTACAAACCCTTCTAAACCGCTCCTTGATAGGGAGGCACGGATTTGAGACACAGCCTTCAGTATTTCCTTTGTATTTGGATTCTCTTTGATAACGTATCTACTATACAGAGAAAAAAAAAAGAATACAGAAGTATTTTCTCTTTTTATTCGATGACACATCAAATTCACTATATAATGTCTCTAAATAAATTGGGTCCTGGCTATCTGAGAGTACCTTTCCTCCCTAACATCACCACTTAGAAGACTTGTTTATAACTCTGAAGTTCCAGACAAGCAGGACATTTTGGACTAGTGGTAGGGAGAGGGCAGGTGCTGATTTGTGGTTTCTCATGTTTTACGATCTGGCAAAACTCTGTAGATCTAAATAAAAAGTAATCCGTGAACATTTGCAAAGGAGTTCACTCAGCAGCCAATATATTCATAACTTTCCATGAAAAACTCCAAGAGTATATGTCTATTTTGCTCAATAATTTAGCATTCTTTTTTCTTTTTTGAGTTGGCGTTTCACTCTGTCACCCAGGCTGGAGTATAGTGGCATAATCACAGTCCACCACAGCCTTGATCTCCTGGGCTCAAGTGATCCTTCCGAAACAGTCTTCTTGCATAGGTGAGACTACAGGGGTGAGCCATCATGCCTGGCTAATTTCTATTTAGTTTATTTATTTTTTTGTAGAGATGAGGTTTCACAATGTTGCCCAGGCTGGTCTCGAATTTCTAGACTCAAGCAAGCCTCCTGTCTTGGTCTTTCAGAATGTTGGAATTACAGGTGTGAGCCATCGTGCCTGACCAGTGTTCTTTTTTTTAAAGAGCAGATCCTTTTAGAGGTATCCACCATTTTAAAATTGATGTTAACTTGTTTGCAACAAAGAGTAGTAAACACATTTTTAAACTAATGTTCAAAAGGTAGTCTGGGCTTTCTAGACACACGTGTCTTAGTTTACAAAAAAATAAAACACAACAAGAAACCAAATAACAGAATTTAAATGGCAATTCATTTCTAATGCACAGAGCTAGGGTTCAGTTACCTGGATCTCTTCAATGCTATGGACAATAAACATGTCTTGGAGGTCCTCCATAGCACCCTCCATCCAGTTGTTGAAAGGGGCAGCTCTCTTGGCAAACTCCAGGTGAAGCTGATCGATGGTTTCTAGCAGTTTCTCAGTTCTCTGGAGATTGGTTAAATGGAAGCAAGCATTATCACATCGTATCACTAATTAAAAATTCACTGAAAATAGAAGTATGCATTCAATAGCAAACTGTTATCTGACATTTTGTTAAGCATATTAGCGTGTGTCTACAAAAGATTACCCGATGCTCAAATAATTAGCCTGAGCCCTGCAAGTCTCTGAGGTGCCTTCTGAATCAAAAAAGAATTGATTGCATCCAGAGTAGCCTCATTTTCAGAGTAACTGAAATACTTGCCTGCATACAACTTTTCTGAAAATGGAAACTCTACATATGGCCCATCATAACTTGCTTTCAGTTAAAGTAGGACTTTGTGAGTTAGAGGACCGATTCTCCAACTTTGCAAGATAACCAAAAAAGGACATCTTCCACATTATATAGTCGGAGGAGTCTTTCCCAAAGTCATCTACGTCATGAAGACAGAAAACACTACAGTTTAACGTTCTTAAATCCTCGCTCAGGATTGAACACAGAGATCGTCTCTTGTCTTTCTGGGCATACGGATGTCCAAGGTTTCAAGAGACACATGAACCCGTGCATGTTTCCTATGGCAGAGATGACAAGAGCTGACAGGGAAAGCCCTGGATCTGGAAATCTCCCTTAATTAAGCTCATTTCTTCCTCCTGTTCTAAAATGGCTTGCACTGTCTCTGTTACATGCCTGGATCTTCCTCTTTCTCAACATGTCCTTCTTTGGGCAGGCATGTGACAGCCATATGGCATCTGGGAAGCTTGTTATCATGTATTTCAGAAATTTTGTCAGAGTCAAGGTAAAAAGACTCAGGAAACTGGTAAATTGCTTCTTTCCTTCACCTTGTCGGAGTTGTCCATGGGCAAGGACAATTAGGTACAGTTGAACACCAGCTACCTATGCTACTTATCCAAATCCCATACTTAGATAAGATTCTGTTTCATATCAATTTTCCTTCCTTCAACATTTGCTGTCATTTCCCTCTATTGTTTCAAGTTAGGTTCTTCCTAACTTCCTAACCCAGTCACAGCTCAATTTACTCAGACAGACTTTTAGAAATTTATTGTAATGACTACTTGATGCAAAAGTAGGGTTATATCTTAATCTCATTACCTCTGGATTTGTTTCTTAATTCACTACTATATGGATAAATTATAGAACCAAGCTACCGGCGTTTTATTTCCCCCTTTCTCCCACTTTTCTATTTTCTTTAGAGGCCCTTTCACTAATAAATCTGTGTAATGCTGCAGAGAAACAGGAAATTCATATCAGTGGCTCAATTAATGAATCTCTATTAAAAGATTTCATATGAACAAATGACTTCAAGACTTCACCTCCAGGGCCTCTCTCCTCTTCTGAGTAAGTGTTCCCAATCTGTCCCACTGGTCACAAATTTTCTGGCACCGGTCATTGACATTCACAGCGTCATGATAGTCCAGTTCACTATTAAAAGTGAAAATAAATAAGCATTAACTCTCCCAGATGATATGAGGGAAAATGGACATGGACTCAAAAGCAACAAGAAATTTAAAAAAATTTCTGACAGAGCATTTCGGGGTTTTGTTAACCATCACCACTGTAGACATCAATCTTCTCAGATAAGTTATGAGAAGAATTCATACAACTTTTGCTGGTCAACAGATTTCAAAGCAGAGAGTACCACTGACTTCTTGATGCCTCAGGCAAACTTTATTCTCCCTTAGTTTTCTTTTTTTTTTTTGAGTTGGAGTCTCACTCCGTCACCCAGGCTGGAGTGCAGTGGCATACTCCCGGCCACCCCCCAGCTTTGACCTGCTGGGCTCCCGCAATCCTTTCACCTCAGTCTTCCAAGTAGCTGGAACTATAGGCATGCACTACCACACTCAGCTAATTTTTTATTTATTGTAGAGACGAGGTCTCGCCATGTTGCCCAGGCTGGTCTCGAACCCATAGGCTCAGGCAATCCTCTCACCTCGGCCTCCCAAAGTGCTAGGACTACAGGCTTGAGCCACTGTGCCCGGTCTTCCTTGGTTTTCTTGGAGAGACCTCCAGAGAGCATTATTTCTAAGTGGTAATGTACTAGCAAGTGAAGCCAAGTATCTGATCGGGAGGCCAGTCCTGTGGGCTGGGCTGCAGACACAGTGACTGGAACATCAAAATGAGTCAAGGGGGAGAGTGGTGTCGGCTGGCACCACGTTGTGTCCTTGGCTCCTCTTGAAGGGCACCTGGCCTCACCACCGGGTGAGCACCAGGTCCAGAAGGACACTGTGACTTTATCTAACATAGAGGGACTTTTAAAATGGAGCAGGACACAGCCCTTCCTCTTGGGGACAGAGAGATTCGAACTTGTCTTATGACAATAGTGTGACAAGCAAGAAGAACACAATTTCCCACTGAATTCTTACTTTTCTTCACCAGACCTGTCCTGTATCCTACCTGGATCTGGGTGAGGTGAAGTCATTTGAACTTACCATGAAAGCAAACCTACTAGAAGGTTAACCTAGTAACTCCCGGGATAAGAGGCTTGAATCCTGTACAAAACTTAATCGCCTTTTTAGTTAAGATGCAAAATGAGAATTATGGAGGTTTAAAGACGTCTTTAGGAGACTTCTTCAAAAACAGTTCAGAATGTTTCTTTTTTTTTTGAGTTGGAGTCTTTCTTTCTTTTTTTTTTTTTTTTTTTGAGTTGGAGTCTCACTCTATTGCCCAGGCTGGAGGGCTAGAGTGCAGTGGCGGGTTCACAGCCACCGCAGCCTTGACCTGCTGGACTCAGGTCATCCTTCTGTCTCAGCCTTCCAAGTAGTGGGAGGTGTGTGCCACCACGCCTGGTTAATTTTTTTTATTTATTGTAGAGACAAGGTCTCGCCAAGTTTCCCAGGCTAGTTTCGAACCCGTGGGTTCTGGGAATCCTCTCGGCTCTGCCTCCCAAAGTGCTGGGATTACAGACGTGAGTCACTGAACCCAGCCAAGACAACTTTCCAAAGTCCTCTTACTCTACCAAATCTATTTCCCTGAAGCTTGTTTATTTCTTTTTTCAACTTTAAATTAAGCAGTATTTGTTCATTGCTTTTTTTTCCTTGAATAATATTAACTCATGCTCACTGAATTTTACTGTTTCTATTACTGAATAAAGGAGACAAACGTGGTTGTTATCTGAGTGTTCCTCCAGTGGACAAGAATCTTTGTCACCTAAATAAAAATTGTTCAGTTCTCAAAAGCAAACAGAAGTTTTCTTCTTTTTTTTTTTTTTTTAAGTTGGGGTCTCACTGTCACCCAGGCTAGAGTGTGGCGGCACAATCATGGCTCACTGCAGCCTTGAGCTCCTGGGCTCAGGAGATCCTTCCACCTCAGCCTCCTGTGTAGCTGGGACTACAGGCGTGCACCACCACGCCCAGCTAATTTTTGATTTTTATGTAGAGACAAGGTCTCACTATGTTGCCTAGGCTGGTCTTGAACCCCTGGGCTCAAACAATCTTCCCACTTCAGCCTCCCAAAGTGCTGAGATTACAGGCATGAGCCACTGCACCTGGCCAGAAGCTTTCTACATACATATATTCTTCACTAGAATAAGGTCAACTAAGATTCTTGTGCTTATTTATTATAACCAAGAAAACAAAACATACAAGCAATTTGCACAGCCCTAAACCCAAAAAGGCTGTGGCTCTTCAAAATGCAAAAATTAAAGAGAAGAAAGACTTCTCCAAAAACAAAAACCTAGGAATGCTTCTCTTGTTCTACAATGGAGACACCACTGCTTAGCTATCCAGGATTATCTTTAGCGTATAGTTTCTATCTCTTCTCTCTCATGCAGAAGTGATGGGTCCTTAGATAACTGCTTTCAAGGAGTTGGAGTATGCATAACTGTGCATAACTATTTTTATGTACTTTGAGAACAGCACACAAAGCTTGGTTTGTTATTTGAGAACAGGTAAAAAGGCAAGGGATGCTCATGACAGCAAGATGAGCACAGACTTAACTTCTGTATGTGGTTCATCTCTAGATTATATGAAAAACAGGCCCTAGGGATACCATGAATAGTAATAATAACAATATAAAACTGCTACTTAAATTTATGGGTAACGCTCTAAACCATTCCAAATTACTCATGGGAGCAATTATAGAGCACTAAATAGCTTGAGTTTCTTTCATCCCCTTATTTTATTTGATAATGCACAATCAAAAAGCCAGCATTCAAGAAGCATGAGAAATAAGACCATGTCAAGGCCACAAATACAATGCATAGACTGGATATAAAGACCACAATTAAGAGTTTATATGAGCAAGATAGAAACATAGACTACTCTTTAAACAGGGCCCATCTCTCTTTTCTTTTCTTTTTTCTTTTTTTTGTTTTTTGAGTTGAAGTCTCATTCTGTCACCCAGACAGCAGTACAGTGGCATGACCATGGCTGGCTCACTGCAGCCTCGACGTCCTGGGCTAAGGCAATCCTTCCCCCTCAGCCTCCCAAAGTGCTAGGATTACAGGAATTAGCCACCATGCCAAGCGCCCATCACCTATTAATTAAAGAGTTTGTTCTAGTCAAAAATGAGGAACATGGAAGTTTTAAAGTGTAATATATTGAATGAAATTTTTTATTATTTGATTTTTAAAGTCACCATTATATGACAGGCTCTAAAACTTCTGCAGATTTATCAGTGACTATAATGGGAGATGGTGGGGAAGGAGCAGGGAATAAAATCTTGTATTTATCAGAAGGAGGGAAAAAGTCTTTTTGTTGTTGTTTTGAGTTGGAATCTCCCTCCGTCAACCAGGCTGGAGTGCAGTGGCATGTTCACGGTTGCCACAACCTCGACCTTCTGGCTTAGGCGATCCTTCCACCTCAGCCTTCCAAGTAGCTGGAACTACAGGCACGCACCACCATGCCTGGCTAATTTTTTGATTTCTTGTAGAGATGAGGTCTTGCCAAGTTGCCCAGGCTAGTCTCGAACCTGTGGGCTCAGGCAATCCTCTCACCTCAGTCTCCCAAAGTCCTGCAATTATAGGCATGAGCCATTGCACCTGGTGGGGAAAAGCCTTCAAAAAAGCCCAGAAATGCAAGTCCCCTCTCCCCAGGACGGCCACACCCTGGGGCTCACACTGCACAGAACGGGAGAAAAGAATGTCCACTCAGCGCTTAAGCCAGCCTGCGCTCAATTGGCATGCTGGTTCTTCCCATAAAACAAAAGCCATGGAAAAGCAGGGCCTAATGCCTCTTTGGTTTTGTGTCGGTTTCTGGACAGGCCATGGTTCTGCTCCTGCACCTGCAGGACAAAGCGGCCTTTCTATAGTTCTCTGTGCCATTATATCTCATCCTCTTGGAAGAGGAACCCTGGGTGGAGGGTTCAGGTGCTGCTGGATGGGAGGATACGGGGATTCAGCCCCAACCAATGACCCAAAACCAAAGTCTGCCTATAGATTTAAAGAAACAGGGAGGATTCCATTGCAGAGGGCTCCAGCTTGGTGCTCCCTGCATTTAGTACATGAAAGGAGAGGCAGGCTTCCTTTGCCCTCTCCATGGAGCCCACAGGCAGCTCTCAGGGAGGTCCACGGGCAGCAGCACGTACTTGAGCTCCTGTGCGATGGCTGCAATCTGTTCCACACGGTCCTGGTGTGCTGCCAGGTCGCTCTCGAACGCCTCATGCTTTCGCAGCAGAGCCCGCAACTCTGTCAATGACGCCGACTCATAATCCTTCTGCAGCAAGATCTGCTCTTTGCCTGCAAGGTGTCAACGCGAAACCATGAATATGCTGGTGGCACAGCAGCTCTGTCATGCCAGCCACGTCCTCGAGGAGCCTTGAGATTCCCAAGAACCCAGAGAAGGGGGGCAAGGAGTGACAGAACTGCAGACGCAGACCAGGGTTGCCACAGAAGTCAGGCTGTTATCTGCTAAGGATGCCCAGCCCCTCCCTCTCTGAGCTAAAAGCACATGTCTACACATAAAGGGAAGGGGTGATTGCAGAGTGCATTCTAAAAAAACACATCTGCATGCTTCACCATTCTAAGTAATGAGCATCTGATGTTCCAGTGTGATGCTGTTTAGCTGGTAATTATTGGCTCCCAGGAGCTCCTCGGGATGAGGAGTTTCATCTGAAACACCTATGCCCTATTTGTCTACCTGAGGGTCCCAACCCATCCCAATTCTTTTCATTTGAAAGCTGGACTTCGTGTGGTTAAATGGAGCCTGTGTGTTCTTGTTTCTGAGAATAAATTTTCGAGATTTTTCTCTCTGAACCTCCACTTACTTCCCCCGATAAATATTTCTTAACTCTAGCGACGGCTGTGATTATATCTGGATCTGCACTTTTCCCCCAGTTAATGACCTCTGAGATGTTAATTTTATAAAGCTGGAAATGGAAGTAAATGTTCATATATTTAATGATGATATAGTGGTACTTACTATACATCATATACTAATTTAAATACTTTACAGGTATGAACTCATTGCATCTTCCTATGAAGGAAGTATCAGTGTTCCCATTTTGGAGAGGACACTGAGGCACCGAGAGGTTAGGAACTCATCCTGGCACACAGCTGCCCGGTGTCAGAGCCGCGACTCCAACCTGCCTGGCTCTGGCATCCATGCACGGTGTGCCTTTTCCATGCAATGTCAAAAATCAAGCAATAACAAAGCAATGAGAAATGAGGAGAAATCTCTCAAAATTATTATTATGTGATAGGGAGAGTGTTTTGTTCTTCTACCTTGACAAGGACTATTTAATCCAGCAGACAGCCACAAAAATATTATCGTCATATTATCATGGCTGTGGAAGCAGGTTTGTGTGTAAGGCCTTAAAGAAGTAATGAATGCAAGTGAAATAAGAACATCAGACTACAGACAATAATCCTTTGCCTTCTTCCTTTCCAACCAGGCTTTCTAAGTGGGATATTATGTTGTTTTGTGGCGTTTAATACACATTCTACTGGAAGCAGCTGGTAGCTGGCCTGGGGCCGTCTGACCCATAGTTAGGGAAAACACAGACAAATCAAATAGAAAAGACAAAAGGAGGCCAGGTGTTCAGGTATATATGTAAAGGGGATGTTTTGAGTACCATTTTACGAAGAAAATAAATTATCCACTTGGTTAGAAAGTATGTTCTCATGCTTACCGCTTGAGGACATCTAGCATGGAGACAAGAACAGAGAAAGGTGAAGGCGCCTACCCACAGCGTCAGCTGTGACAGACGGGGTCAGTAAGGATGCATCATGGCTCTGTGTGCCAGTCAAATCTGGTTTTTCAAAAATCCAATGTGAGTCTCATCTACATACCATATGCCCAAGTCTCATGCGTCGAAGCCTTCTGCCTGAACTTCTCAGCCAGGTGTTCTAGGCGCTCCAGTCTCCGAATCTCGTTGAGCAACCACTCCTCATAACCTTTCTCGGCCTGCTCCAGTCTCTGCCAGGCACCAGCAATATCCTGGGATGGTTGAAGGACAAGGATAAGGCACATTCGCTACTCCCTGGCCTCTTGGACTTTGAGAAATTGCCTCTGCCATGTGACTGATGGCATTTTCCCTTTTTGTTTCCATTTTCTCCGCCTTCTCTCAAATAACCATTCAACTATTTTGGCTTCCAAATGTCTTAATTATTACTGAGCCCTTTTAAAATTAATAGAGTTTTATCATCAGCTAACCTGACCCTTCTCCAGATGTGGACAAAGATGTACATTATTTGGCTCTAAGATGAATAAGCATCAAAGTGACTTGATTCAAAACAACTCTTTTTTATTGTATTATTATTTTTAAAGAAGGATTTTTGCCATATGAGCAACCAACAGATCCATGAAAATATGCTCAGCCTCACTAATCATCAAAGAAATGCAAATTAAAACTACACTGAGATACTACCTAACTCTAGTCAGGATGGTCATCCTCAATAACTCAAAAAACAACAGATGCTGGAGAGGGTGCGGGGAAAAGGGAACACTTCTACATTGTTGGTGGGATTGTAAACTAGTACAACCTCTGTGGAAAATAGTATGGTGATTCCTAAAAGATCTAAAAGTCAACCTTCCATATGACACAGCAATCCCCCTTCTGGGAATACACCCAGAGGAACGCAAATCATTCTTCAAAAAAGATGCTTGCGCACACATGTTTATTGCAGCACGATTCCCAGTAGCAAAAACATGGAACCAACCATGCTGCCCATCGAAAGTAGACTGGATTAAAAAAAGGTGGTACATATACACGATAGAATATTATGCAGCCATAAAGAAGGACAGAATTATGGACGTCACAGCGACTTGGATGGGTTTAGAGTCTGTAATACTCAGTGATCTATCACAGAAATAAAGAACTGAGCTCCACATGTTCTCATTCACAAGCGGATCCTGAACAATTATCACAGTACTATAAGAAAGAGATTGGTAGTAGTGGGGAACTGCCAGGAGAGGGAGTGAGGAGACATACTTCCTCAAATCAGGTGACGTGGGACCAAAGTGAGGCCCAGACTTTACCGGTGCAATGACCATTTGTATATCTAACCCTGAATTACACCCCACATTTTAAAAATAAAAGTTAAAAAAAAAAAAAAAGAAGGAACCTTGCTATGGTGCCCAGGCTGGTCTCGACCTCCTGAGCTCAAGCAATTTTGCCACCTCAGCTTCCTGAGTAGCTGGGATTACAGACCCAAGCCACTCTGCCCAGTTTTCAAAACAACTCTTACTCAGTAACTGACATGAATCATCCAGTCAGCCAGCCAGCCACCAACAACTACCCACTGGGCATCTAGCACCAATCAGGTACCAGGGAGAAATTCTGTAAGAGTAAATAACATGTATAAAGTTTCCTTGCAGTTTTCATGACTGTTGAGGGGCGGAGACGGATAATAAGTAACCAAACAAACAAGTTCATTTCAGATAGTGATAAATGCTGTGAAGGAGAAACAATACATAGCCAAGGGATACTGAAAGGCCGTGGGGGCGGTCTGTTTAGGCAGGTTTCTTAGAGAGGTCCCCTCTGAGGAGGTGGCATTTGAGCTGAGGTCTCAATGACAGACAAAGCTTGTGAAAAATCGGGGAGTGAGGGTTCCTAAGCAAGAAAATAAAGTCAAAGGTCCAATGAGGGGATGCATGTGTCTGGTGTTTGGGAAGGATGGCAGGCCAGTGTGGCCACAGCACAGTGGTCAGGGCAAAGCAAAAAGAGATGCAATCAGCAAGATGAGACCAGGTCAGATCACATAGCACCTTACAGGCCGGGATCATCTACCTGGATTTTACTCTAAATACACTGAGACATCACTAGAGGGTTTTAAAAAGGAAGAAGACAAGATCTGATTTATATTTATAAAAAATGACAGAGGCTGCTGTGTGGAAGACGAATTTTAGGGGGCAAAAGAAAAAGAAGAGCCGGGCTCGGTGGCTCAGCCTAGAATCCCGCGCCTTTGGGAGGCTGAGGTGAGTGGATTGCCTGAGCCTGTGGGA